GCTTTTACGAAAAACACCTTGACAAGTACCCCGCGCTGGGAGACGAATCTAAACTACTTGTGCATCTGCGGATGAATGTTGTGTGTGGCCGAATAGGGCCCGAGAAGAAGCCGCGCAGATGCTGGCGTGCGAGGTGGGTCTAGCCAAAGACCAAGCTGTCAAAGAACGGGAAAGCTTGCGAGCAGAGTGCGAAGAAGCGGCGAAAGCAGAACACCTAGCGGTGGCGAAATCTCACCAGGAGGAGATAGAGGGGATTTTAAAACAGCACAGGACCGAGATCGAGAGACAGTCACAGGAGTCGGTCGATGCTGCAGCCCATGCCGCCGAATCCGCCGCCACTGAACTGTCAGAGTTACGGGCGAAACATGCCATCGACGTTGCCGATAGTACTGCGGCGGCAGAGGCACGGCAAGCCCAAGAAATTCAGCGCCTGCGCGAAGAATTCGACCGGGAGAAGGAAAGCATGAAAACAGCGACGAACGAAGCAAGACTCGCGGAGGAGGCAGCACGGGACACGGAGATGCAGGAGAGAATAGCCACAGCTACCGCTGCTGCGAACAAGGCTAGAGAAGCCGCCATTCAGGAGTTGCGTGACCAGAACGACAGATCTTTCGAAGAACTGAGCAAGGTACACGCCGTGGCCGTCAAGGCTGCGGTCGAGGAGGCCACGGAGCGCCTGCGCGTCGAGCACGAGAACGAAATGGCGGCCGCACGATCCGCCGCAGATACCACCCTCAAAGAATCGCGCCTGGAGGAGGCCAGGCTGTCGGAGAAGACACACGCCGCTGACGCGGAAGCTCTCAACCAACGTTATGAATCCGAGCTAGACGCGCTGAGGCTGGCCAGCGAGGCCGCCCTTGAGAAGGGCCAGCGCGATGCCGACGCTAAACTCGCGGCGCGCGTGCGAGAAGCCGCCGAGGATGCCTCCGTGATGCAGGCGGAATCCGCGAGGACCCTCCAAGCCCTGAAAGACTCCCACATCGAGGAGCTCGCCACAGCGAACCGAGAGTACGACTCAAGGCTGAAGCGAGCCGTGGACGAGGAGAGGTCCAAGGCTAAGGTGGAACAAGCGGACGCGACCGAGGCGCTCAGGGCTGAGGCGGACGAGGCGAGAGCCGTTGCGGAGCACGAGCACCGGGAGGAGATCCGTGCGGTGGAGGAACGACTCGAGGCGGAAATCAAAGCCCTTGTCGATGACAGTGAGCTCAGAGAGAGGGAGTCCGTTGAGGCACTCACGGCGGAGAATGAGACCTCGGCGGCTGAGGCCAAAGCTAGGCACGAAGGTGCTCTTGCGGCTGCCGAGGAACGCTGGCGAGATGCCGCCGAAGCTGCAGCCGTGGCCGCAGAAAAGAAAAGGACGGCGGACGTCGAAGCCGCCGAACTTCGAGCCTCGGAGGCTTTCGCGAAGCTTCAAACTCAAGCAGCAGCGACGCTTGCTGCTGATCAAGAGAAGAGCCGAGATGAGATGCGCCGGATAGAAAAGCAGCACGAGGCGAATGCCGAGGCTGTCCGAGCTGCAGCGGAGGAAAAGCGAGCAACAGATCTCGCAGCCGCTGATAACTTGTTGTCCCGCTCTTTGTCCGACGCTCAGAACGAGCGGGCGGGCGCGATAGCGGCGTTGGATACCCAACATAGAGAAGCGCTGGCTCTATCCGAAGCAACGCACGAAGATGAGGTGGCCCGCTTGGTGGCTGATGCAGAGGACAGGCTGTCCCGCTCCTTGGTGCAGACTGAGAACGGGCATCGAGCAGCGATGGAGGCTCTAGACGCACAACACAGAGAAGCGTTGGCCGTTCGTGATGCGACGCACAGGCAGGCGATGGATAGCTTAGCCGCTGACGCCCAGAGAGAGGCAGAGGCAGCCGCGCGCAAAGCAGAGGAAAAGCTTGTGTCGGCGCTGTCAGCGATCAAGTCGGAAACGGAGGCGACCACCGCAGCTCAAGACGCACGGCAGCGAGACGAACTGCGCAAAGTTCAAGAAGGGTTCGAAGCCGAAGCACTTCGAGCCGCCACTGCGGCTGAGAACCGGAGGGAGGCCAATCTCGCCGCCCTCCGCCAAGAAGTCGCCCAGGGGGAAGAGAAGACCAAAGAGGTGTCGGAATCGGCGGAGCAGCGTATCGCAGCATTAAGCGAGAAGATGGTCGAACTGAAAGAGGCGCACAAGGAGGAGCTCATCAGACTCAGCGAATGGCACACCGCGGCGGTAGGCGAAGCCGAAAAACGTCATGCTGCAGAACTTTCCGACGCTGAAAGTACTTACAGAACTTCCGCGGACACCATCCGCGTGGAGATGGCCGAACAAAAGGCAGAGTTCGTTTCGAAGCACTTGCTCGAGATGCGCAAGGTTAAAGAGGCCGGTGTTGCCGAACTCCAGCGCGCTTCCCGAGAGGCCGAAGAGCGAAGCGCGGCGCAGCAGCTTAAGGCAGCCTCGGAGTTGGACGAGGCAAAGGCGGCCCATCTGCGCGACCTGCAGGCGGCGGCTGCGTCAGCAGAGGAGGCCAGAAAGGCAGAGTTCGAGGCGGCGCAGGACACGCTCGCGTCGACGACGTCCGAGCTGAAATCGGAAATTGCCAGGCTCGAGGAGCAGCACCGAGACGACCTGCAGGGGAAGATCGCCGAAGCGCGGGAGGCCGAGAGCAACGCCCACGCCAAGGGCCTCGCCGACACCATCGCAGAAGCGGACGCGGTCCACGAAAGGAAGCTCGAAGACTCCCTTCAAGTGGAACGGTCCTCTCACGCAGCGGCGCTCTCCGCCATCAGCGAACAGCACGAGGCGGAGCGAGAAGCTGCGGCAACAGAAATCAACAATCTCCGCGAAAGTCTCCAATCGGAACATCGGCTTGCCGTCGACGCTCTCGAGGAGGCCCACCGCGTCGCAATAGAGAGGTCGGAGGAGAGCAGCAAGAAGGTAGTCGAAGAGCTAGAAGTGAAGGTTGAAGCTGCGCAGACGGCCGCCGCGGACGCACAAGCTTCCGCCAACGAGCTTGAGACCCGCGCGGAGGCGTTGGACGAGATGCTAAAGGCTTCGGTGGGCTCCAACGAGCAGGAATTGGCCGGGCACCGCAGTCGTGTGGCGCAGTTGCAGGGCTTCGTCGCTCGGCGAGAGGCGGCCGTAGCTTCGGCCTCCACGGATGACAACGGCGACAGCGCCAACCTGTCTCCCGCCGCTTCCCGTTCCCTGCAGCAAAGAGTCTCTGACCTCCGCGCATTGGCCGTCGGCGCCGGGGCGGCTGGTCTGAAAGTCGGCGGCGGAGAGACGGGACTCGCAACATTCGCGAGCACTGGATTGGTGGAAGGGTTGACCATGGAGAAGTACGCCGAGGAGTTGGAGGTCGTACTCGTACGCGCGACCGTGGAAGCGGCAACGGCAAGACAGGACCACTTGGAAGCCGACTTGCAGTGCCAGGGAGTCACGAGGCAACTTGTGGGCCTCAAGGTGAACAGAATGTCAACTGCCCGTTGTCTTGAGAGATACCGTACGAGGAACATTTCGTACCGGAGCACAAGCCAATGGACGAATCGCTTGCGTTGATACTCGTCATCGCTTAGTAGAACCGACCTCCGACAAGGAATCGTGCGACAAGTTAACCGGCTCTAGAAGCAAATAATTTTGCACTTTTGTCGCGCTTATATTATGTGCGGGCACTCATGAAACGATGGAGGCAGTTGCTAAAACCCCGACTGTCAAACCCGTTCACGCTGGCATCTACCGTTAGCAAGCCCCAAACATTCCATCCTCACGACCGGACGTCAGTAGACGTCTTCCTTTGAGCGGGTGAACCTTGCACAGTTCACCCAACCCTACTCCTTCATGCTGGGTGAATTAGCACGCAAGACCATGTACGTCTTGCAGTTTCCATGATGTTCTACTGTGCGGGCAAGCGTGCCCCTGACGTTTAAACCTTTGTCCCACCCCCAACGACGTGTCTCAGCTGGTGCACGCGCAGCTTCGCGAATGCCTCGAAGACACCCAAGTAAAGCTCGAGCATAAGTCCCAGAGCGCGGCACGAAGGCTCCTGAACTCGGCCGCCCGACTAGCCTACGAGTTTGCCAAACCCGATCGATTTTCAACGAGCCCTCCCCGGTCTCCAAAGTCCACCAAACCGAGAGCAATGAACCGACAGAATTCCGCCAGCCGGTCCCCGCGTTCCCGCGCCAGGGGCATTGCTGGCCGGCGAAACAAAGCGCCACAGCAAGAGGGGGAGGCCGTCTCGAACGAGCAGGTCCCGATCGACTTCAGCGCTACCTTGTAACCGAACGGAAGAAGGCCGAGACTACGGTGATTTTCGTGGCCAACAGTGTGATCGACAAGCCACGAGGTTCGCGTTCGCGGCCGGTGTGCATATTCATTTGCCGTCGTTGCCCGCGGGAGTTTTGCGCGGTGCAATGGGATTGCCTACACGTGTATAGCACCACAACGAATTGGTGACACGATGATGAGGGATGGGCATCAGTACGCCCGGACAGTCGCATGCAACGTTAAGTCAGGGACAGGTAGACCCTTTGTGCGTAGGGGGTTCGCATTGGTCTTTCTTTGACGTTGTCCGTAGGAGCTGGAGTATGCGTGCTTAAAAATGGGGGATTTAGACCTGCGTTGCATGTTTTGCTTATGCGCATACCGTAGATTCGACTCGGAAGCCGAAGCTTTGCAGCGAAGACTACATTGGCGAAGTTGATATTATTATTCTTGTAGGCGAAACTTGTCACTGCAACAACGAGGGCCATGAATGACCCTGAGTACGGCCGGCGACTCCTCTTAGGGCTTCTTAGGGGCAGGCCAACTACAGTACATGTGTACAGGAAGATTTACGGAAGTCAAGTCGTTCTGGATTGCCTTCTCGATTAACCCGTTCATCGAGGCGGGAGTGTGGTGACTCTGGATTGCGATTGCCGCTCGGTAAGGTCTCTGGTGGATTGCGAGAAACATCTTGGCCTTGATTGCGCTCGGCTCTGGATCGGGCGTAAGCATGCCCAGACAAACAACATTTGCGGATATATCAATCACAAGGTACCTGTTTTCCATTGATTTCCCTCGCGTCACGTTACAAAACGCCTTCAATCGGGGTTGCTCGAGGACAGCAAGACCCCTGGACCAAGCCAGTCGTTGCCAACTCTGTTGCTGTCATGCCTGGCCAGGCGAACACCCAAGCGGCCGGTCGCAAAGGGCGAAACTTGACCCTCAGGATGCACACGTGTCGATTCGGTTCCCATCGCCAAACAACGTGCACAACACACGACACCCGCAAAGAGAGAAACAACGCAGAACCAACCTGCATGGGGTAGTGACTTTGACAGCGGCCTTCTTCCCAATCGCATCTAATATAATATCACAGCACAAACGAAAGACATCGCGCGCCGACTACTGAACAACAGAGATCGGGCATCCGCTCCTTTCAAACGGGACAGCATGGTGCAGTGCTTTCTCGCTCTATATTTTCCCGAGCGCCGGCGGGCAAGCGTTAAAACTAAAAAAATCAGTACGGACGGAAGAACGATCGCCGCAAGAACGAGGCACGGGAGAAGACAAGACAGGATATCACCAAGCTCATGCAAACAGCGTCAGTGTGTGGGGTACACTCGCCCCCATTTCACCTCATTGATGCTTGGAGTTCATCACTATCTCCACTGCTTTTCATGCATCGACAACATGGCATCGGGTATCGTACGTTCGAGTGTCAAATAATGCGCCTGAGGGTCGGATGGCAATGCTCTCTAGCGACGATTGCTAACCGCCATCTCGCCCGCCGATTCCCCGATCTAGACGACAACCCCCATCGAGGGAAAGAGCGATAGCAACGCGCGACGTTCCCACTCTCACAAGGCCGGTTCTGCAGTAGCGTCGACCCTTGGTTGCCGTGCCGAAAAAAGTCAGATTCTCCAACTTGACAGGAAGCACCAACGCCCTCACCCGATCAATGCTTCGACTGCTCCGAACAAAAACAGGCTGCTCGTTGCACCCAGTCGGGCGAAGAAAAGGTCAACTCCCGTCTACTACGGTCTGTCGGATGGTTGCACTAAATGCTTACGGTTGCACTAAATGCTGAGGTTGACAGAGAGGCCGAGGTTGCCCGGGCCGACCCCATGCGTGAACCCTTGCGCTCCCAACATGGAGCTGTACTCGTCCGGTACACAGGTCATCTGCTAGACGAGACGGCAGAGAAGGAACGGAACGCAACAAGAGAAAACACAATGAACGAACGTCAATATACATACCCACAAGTGATACCTCCGGAGCAGAGCAGGCTTGCTAATGAGAGCACAGCAGTGTCATTAAGGGGTGTAGCAAGATGAAAAAAAAGCAAGCAGCAGGACCAACTCATAGCTGGCTGCCTGCTGGCCGTGGTGTGAGGTTTCGCAAGCTCTAACAACCCACACAAAGATGATGACGTGCTTTGTACTCGAAGAGCCCAGCGAACCTCATCGAACTAAAAACAAACAAGTACAAATCTGCAATGAGTCTTATTAGAACAGAACGATACATACCACCCTGTGAGCTATGGTAGTATAAGAGTCGGGATATATATTTTGTTGGTGCGCGCCTTGGTAAAAAAGCCTTCGAGTTAAAAGACGACAGCAGAACCTTGTGGTTTCACCACCGCGGCCGCATGCACGCCAAAGCGCCAACCATCAAAAAAGAAACGAGAGAAAAATCGGGCCCTGACAGGCACCAAGCGCTCGCTTCCTTCAACTTCTCCGGACGGGGTGGAGACACCGACAACATTTCGACGACAAGCAACAAGCTTGCAGCACCCGTAGCATCTGTGTGATGAAGAAAAATACAGCGGAATGTCTCCAAACCAGATTTACAGACGTCTGTTCGTGATTACTTGCTAGAAATGCGGCGAGGAAATGTCCATTCCTGGAAAATGAGCATCAACACTTGGGCCGGCCAAGCATAATGCGCAAAGGGGGGCCGTGTCTCCGCTATAACACTCTCGACAACCCAGGGTCTGGCATACCGAAACATCACGCACAACTGCAGAAACACAAAAAAGGGAACCGTAGAAGACGGGTTTGATAGTGCTCGGCTGACGCAACGAACCCGCCACCAATTTATGCTAGACCCTTCATTTATGGATAAAAGATGGTTTTATTCGAGTTGTAAGAAAGAAACAGAAAACGAAATAAAGAACGACGTGCCTTTATGGATAAAGATGGACTTGTTTTGCGTTCTAACAAAAGAACAAGAAAAGAAAAGAAACAAAGACGTGCCTGGAGGTTCGCTTTGCCCTGCTGGTACGTTCCGGAGAGGTTGATGTTGGAGTCGGGGATACGGTACGCAGCACCGAAGTTCCATGGGGAAGGCTGGCCCCCGTACAGCTGATTCTGCAATGCCTGAAAAAAAAAACAAAAATCCGGAAATAGGAGTAAAAAGCAACCGACATGAAACGAAACCGTTTGTTAACGAAAAGGGAGTCAGGCTTCCCCCGATAGAGCTGACTGGTAAGAAACTCACCTACTTGGCACTTGATGGCAAGGAAACAGCGAAAAAAACATTAAAAAAAAAAACGTCATACCGTGCGAGCTGACGGCTTTGGGGGCAATCCCCCCCATGTGCATATGGTATAGTAGCGGTTTCCCAGCATGCACTAAGGTGCCAGATCCAACACGCGATATCAATTGCTACATCAAGATTGGTCCAACATGGTGCTACGGAGACAACTCAGAGGGAAACCCAGTGCATCAAACCCTTAATGAGAGGTATCTACGTACACACATGACAACAATTTTGTGCTCACCGCAAGCTGTTGCTGCTGCATTTGCAAGTACTGCATGGCCGTGCTCGTCTGCTGCGCCGCTCGTACCGCCGCGTCCGTTGCCTTCTTGCCCCTCTGCGCCATCTCGTTCATCGCCGTCTGCGATCATGCCGGCCGGTGCTTATGTATGTTAACATTTCCGTTGCGTAATGTTGGCGAATACTCTTGTACATCACTACTTCACGTTGCACTAATGCTGGGAGAGGACCCGTTCTGTGTGAACACGGATTGGAGGACCCTACGATACCCGGCATAACTGTTGCGACAGCAGCGAGCCCTAATTTGAAGTAAGGAGCAAGAGGAACCTGATGAAGGTGACCATAGAAAGGACTTCATGTGAACATTTGACATAAGTAGCACGGGAGCCATGATAATGGTGACCATAAGAGAGATATTCTGTGAACATTTACAACAGCAGTGCCATCCACACCGACCCCCGTCCTGTGCCCATTTCTCGTCGAAACCTCAAATGAGGGAAGGGCGACTTTCGCGGTAAACGCACGCTTTCGTGGAAATCAGTCAAGTGCGACGATTCAAAAGTCTTGGGCCAATTCAAACACCACATGCCGGTGTGTATGGCTTTGAAATGAATCCCCCCAATAACCGAATGGGACACACAAACGAGAAAAGTGACAGAGTTCATCGCTCATCCCCTCAATCCCAAATTACGATACCACCATTCTCAAGTGGCGAACGGCTTGACAACCACAAAATTCCATCAACTGGACTAGAACGCGGAATCGCCGTATCGCTTGCTAGTCCGGTGCAAGGGGTAAACCGCATGTACAGCACAAGCCCCCACTGCAAGGACAAGAACATTAATTGAGGACACTCCCCGCTTCAAGAACCTCATGTTTCCAGTAGCAGGTTGCTTCGCCGACAGAGAAAAAAATAGTAGGAGGGTATGCATACCATACTAAGTTTTAGCATAGTAAGGTTTTCCAGTGGTACGTTGCCCTGCCGAAGGACACAAAACAATAGGACGGAATGCATACAATACTAAATTTTAGCATACAAAATATTAGGGACAGGGTATGCAAAAGTTAGCGGTAGGGCTAGCAAAGGCATCCTCCAACAAACACCGTTATGAAAGTCCTTCGTGGTGGGAACGGCTACCATAGATGTAGGTACCTGCAGGCTGTTCCGCACGGCGGAGAATTCCCATGACGACCCGGCACGAGTGCTGGCCTCCGCCTCCTTCACGAACCACTGGTCGGCCGCCACCATAGCCTGGAAGAACGAACGAACGCACGGACGGACGAAACCAACACGAGGGTGTTCGTAACGGGTGCGGCATGTACCGCGTGGGGGTGGGATGCTAGATGCCAGTAACAATCGTGACAAGCCTAAAACGAGAAGCGTATACAGGAGCTAGATATAGCTGGAAGCTCCAGGTCTAAGCTAGCCCGCCGTGACCTCGTGGATCTATCTACAAAAGGTGTACATAGGTTGGCGGAACGGGATAAAAGGCCAGCAAAGCAAAACTCCGAGCCACGAATACGGCGACGGCGTGGAATAGTGCCAGTTTAGCAGCAACCGACGACAACGCGGGAAAGGCCGCCTGGCATATCAACAGCAACAGCATCGACAGATTCCCAAAAGAACGAACTAACCGATAGATATCAAGACCTGACTTCTGAATTTCTATGGGATCGAAACACATGTTGCCAAACGAAATGAAATTGACAAGGATGTGTTGTTGGGTTTAGCTGAAGCTCAGGGTTAAGGGTTGCATTGTTCAATTTCATGATGACAGAGCAGAAGGCCTTTCCTAAAATAAGGCTGTAAATAGGCGTATGCACATGCAACTGTGTTGCCGTCAGGAAAGCGTTTTGTATGACGTCTTCAAGCCGTCAATGGAAAACATCGTACCAAGTACTTTTCTTTGGTGTGTTTCGTTTCCAAATATAGTGTGCGGGCTTGCTTTCTCCTGTGCCACCCCGGCAGGTACGTCCGTCCAACGATTGCACCGAATCGTGTTAAAGCCCGACGTACAGCACGAAAAAAAAAAAAAGTACTCATCTACCATGGTATCCATACATGAATGTTTTCGCTTGCCTGGTAGTCGCTTGTCTCGCTCCCTTTCGCGAGTGTCTTATACCTCTGCAGAGCCTTCTCGCGGAGCAACGTTAGCTGCTTCATGTACACCAGCTGCAGGGGAAGATCCAAAGACGTCTCAAGCTCCTCCACCTGAAAATAACCAACACGGGTACGTCCGGGGGGTGGTATCAAGCGTCATGCAAGGGTCAATCAAGGTTGAGAGTTCGGTTAGGCGATAGGCACAGGTTCGCTAATCGTCTCCTTGTCCCTCAGCTGAAGAAGTAACACATGCAAATGGACAAACACAAGCGTGAGGGAAAATGGCAAGGATCTCGCCAGGTCCTGAAGGATGTAACTCATACAAATGGACAAACAGAAGTGTGAGGGAGAATGGCAAGGATTATCCCAGGTCCTACATTTAAGAATGAACCACACGGGGTAGGGAGAGTTTCCGGCTTGTTTGTTAGGTGGCGTTACGACGTCAGTTTCGGTTGGAGTATGTTAGGGGACGCATCAGCACGAAGAGATCATGTCTGCACTGCCGCAGCTGCAACTGCACAGCCGCCCGCCCAAAAGCGCACAAATTTGCGAGCACTACTGTCAGCTACGCTTGCGACCAGATGGCTGAAAATGACCCCTTGTGTGTACAACCGCAACAGCAGTAGACTACAGCCAAACGCCAACAGCAGGTACTTGCTGCTGTGATGGCCATCCCCCTGTACTTGTGACAAGCAACATACCTTCTCGTCAAAGATGGATTCCTTTGTGGGATCGTTCTCGGTGTCCGCGGCATCCGTGCTAAATTGCTCCAAGGCCTGCAGCACCAAGCGTGACAAGCAGGCAAAGCAGGCACGACGACAAGCGCGCGCGACATCACGTGAGGGACCAAGAGGCCGGTAAACGAAGAGCAGGTATCACCAGAGCAGGAACAACCAGATAACAAACACCCTGCAACCAATGTCACCTCCAAGGGCGATTCATCTAGAGTCGAACAGCGCGCTCCCGACAAACATCGCAATTACTCGGCACCGTTGCCAAAAGATCAGGTGAATTTCAGAATATGATAGACAGCAGCAATGTTTGAAGATACGTTGTAGGCCGGTGTTTGAAACAGCTTCTAGGTTCAATAATAGATGACCCTAACCGGCCGGTTGAATCTACCAACACCAAGAAGCAGAACCAGCGGCCTCCTTGGCCAGTGACCACAAGGTGCTGCTGCCGCCCGCCTTCCCTATACTCTATATCACTTGCACGTGCCTGGTTGCAGATGCTGTCCGCCTTCTCCCCCAGCGCCGGACACGCCTCTCCCGAGTCCACCCTGGTCTGCAACTCCTTGATGTCGCCCATCGCTTGCCGTGCGATCTTGTTGTACACCTGCGGGCACAAAACAGACAGTAACACAGCAGTTTAACCAGAGGCGTGCAGTACTCGACGTGCTTTCACAGGAGAGCGCCACCCAGCAGTGTCAGTCAGTGGTACCCGAGCCTCCCGCACGCGGACCACGCTGCTGCTTTTGCTGCGTAAGGAGACAAGGGAGAGGTCGACGTTCGTGGGTCACCTCGGACAGGAAGAACGACGTGACGACAGAACAAAATAAAACAATAAAAATGACACGATTATTCCACAGGCGGCGGCAGAAGAGAAGGTGGGCCGTTATTCTACGCCTCCGCCCAAGGAGCAATGGCCGCGACCGAGCCCTTGTCTTGAGACCGACAACACCGTGGACCGGTTGCTTCGAGTAGACGCCGCCTAGGGCAGCCGCCTCTTGAGAGCAACAGTTAGTCAGCGCGAATACACCGACGATACAAGCTGCATCGATAATCGACGCAACTTTCATCGGTGAAGCATGGCTCCGGCAATGGATCTAGAGTGGCGGGTGCCCTGGTTGGGGGGGGGGGGGGGCGGCTGTGCCAGCCCCGAAACGCACAGTTTCGCCGTAAATGGGGCGCAGCTGTTGGAAATCTCAAGGTAGCAGTAACCAGGACCATAAAAAGGGTTTCAACCCTGGAAAAAAACTGCTGCTGCTGTTCGAAAACCGCTTGTTGACCCGACGACAAACTTTGGACCCCCCCCCCCACTCTAAAGCGTCGGTTTGTCGTGCCCACCTCTGGCGCGTTCAACAAGCTCGTTAACGAACTGCTGTGCAAGCTACGGTATGCTGTGTGCCAAAAGAAGGGCCTTCGGCGGTTGCTTTACTTCTTATAGAGCTAGTGCTATCAGGTATTGGCAGTGCTGTGGGATCAGGGCCATAGTCCAGCAGCGTCTCCATTGAGGAAAACAGAAATATGGCCAAACAAAGCGCAAGCCGGCACTGTTCACGCGGTTTGCGGTTTGGTTTCGTTCGTGCGGCAAGCCTGTATGGGTGGGAACATTGAAAGTTGCATTTGTTGACGAGGGCAACAACACATCGCAAGGGTTTTCGATCGAAAACCGTGTGCCGGGGCTCATGCATGTGCTCCTTACAGTACCCGCTGCTTCGCAGGTTACCCATCAACTCCTCTGCGTACGACAACAAGCATCACCGCCTTTGTCGCAAGCAACGCTCAGATGAGACGACTCTCCGTGCCTACATACACCAACGTTCGAGATCCGCGGTTTGCAGCCGATACGGTACAAGTAGAGCAGCATAGATGTCCAGGACAATCTAAACGTCCTAAGAATGCTAGCCCTCCTAAACCTCAAGAGAGTTGGTAGAATCAGAGGGACAGAGGGAACACCCGCTCTCCCAACGATTTGGCCAAGTTGCTGGTGCTGTACTTGAGCTGCAGTGTCACATACAACCGCTGTTCCGCTTTGCATGACCACCACCACCAACGTCAACAAAGCTCTCGGACTTTCTACCCAACCTTCAGCAGCTTACGTTGACATTCCACAACAAGGACCCACAACACCTACATGCGCTTCCCACAGCCCACAGGGGTCATCTTAGGCATATGGCATGTACCACGGCAGCAGCAGGTAGCATTAATAGGAGGCAGCGGTTGCTTCACGCAGAGCCGCTCGCTGCAGCACGTGTCAAAAAAACTGTTTTCCAGTTTCTACAGGCAGCGACAGAGAGGGAGACGCTATCGGTGACGCCCGCCAAGACAAGGGACCCGCTACCAACACTGCAATACAGCCACGCGCTTGCCGCATGCAGACCATCTGTCGCTCGGCCCTGCCGCATGATGGAAGCAGCAGCAGCAGCAGCAGCAGACTGTCGCAAACTCACCCCGTGGCAGCTCATGTGGTAGGCGCTTACGGAGTCCGAGGCCGCGCCGGCCGCTCTCCCCGCGAGCCCCAAAAACATCAAGCACGTCGCCTTCATGGTTGCCGTTGCGGTTCTTCCCAGCTCCAAGGCACAAGAGGTGGTTGACTCAACACACACACCGCTGGTTGCACTGTACAGGTCACAGCAACACCAAAACAAAACAAGCGCGCACAAGACCGCCAAGTGCACACAGGAGGGGCACCGGGTGATCAACACGTAATATGAGTGGGGAATGTGCGAGCGGGATATCATCAAGTGGACGGAGCCCCCATTTTCAATTTGCAAGTGAAAGAGCACAGCCAGCAGATCGCGGAGATCTTGACCTGTAGGTTGAAGTACGTGGCACATAGCGCTCACCAGCCATCACGAGCACTAAAAGGCGTACTTGGAGACACAAGGGGCTCACGGCAAACAGAGAGAGAGAGAGGGCATAGGAGGGATCTAGCTTCTACCCCCCGGTATGTTTACCGCTACGTAGATGTGGGCGGCAAGTCGGCCATCAACCACATATATATTATGTCCACAGACAGGTTATGTGTGTTGTATCTGCATATATATATGCGGACGGTTGTTGCATGAGAGACATGAGAGATCATGGTGGAGATGGGGCCGGAGAATTTGAGGACCGGCGCATAGAACGCTTTTCCTTTTGTCCAGCATCCGAAAGCCACGCGCAACAAGCGTAGACTGCGGGGTACACGGCATAGATTGTGCACAACGAACGGGGGACTGCTCTGCTCAAGGCTCTGCATAGATTGTGTGCAACCTGCCCTACTTCTCTGGGTACGAAAGAAAAAAAAAGTGTTCCCGCGTGGTGGTTGTATTGAGTCACAACCCACACGTGATGGGACAAGTAACCGCTTTCGACTAGAAATTAAAGTACGCTGCAGATAGCAATCGATCATGGGTGAGTCCGGGCGCGTGCGCGCCGGCTGTGGGCTTTAGCTTTTGCATTAGATATTTATTTCTCCGCAACGTGTACACACAAATCCACCTTGCTCACACTACTCGATGCACCTCGTTGTGCTGCTCCGCCCATCTGCTTCTTCTGCTGCTATCCTCTGCTGTCATCTGTCGGTAGATTGGCAGCAGCAGCATCCACCATCATCATTCCGTCCGGTTCGACATCACTACCGCCGCCGTCGTCTACACCAGCTCTTCCACACTCGCTCGATTGTTGCAACCATGGCTTGCACCGAGGACATGGCTGCTGCGGCAACTCCGGTAAGCAACGCATTTAATTGTGATGCAGCCGTATACAGCAGTGGTAGTAGTTTTCTGCATGCCTTCTTTCTGCTGCTGCTGCTGCTGCTGTTCGGCTCCTGCCTGGGTCCCAGGAGGATTACCAACAATCAATGCGGACAAACACAATTCGAAGATCGAAGAACAGTTTTTTTCGGGCACGTCGTCAAGAAGAAGAGTGTTGGGTGCTTTGTGAAACCGCTCTGATTCTGCTCCTCCTTCTTAATGCATAACCCGAGCGGCAATAACCCGAGCGGCCTGCTGCGGGTGCTGGTGTCTTGTTTGCTTGTTGGAGGCCGTGCCGAGTCGTGCAAGATCCCCACCTCTCCGATATCAACAACGGTATTACGGTGTATCCTTCCCCGCGGGCAATCAATCTGCATTACGCACTCTGGAGTCATAGCATTGCAGTCTCCCACCGATTTGCCAAGTTCGACCGGACGTGTGGGCTGGGACGTGTCTGTAGAAGAAAAAAAACTCACTGACACGCCACGTCAAGCGACTACACACGCCTCAGCGGTTGTACATACTCGTAGACAGCTTTCGGGTGTATTCGTCTGTAATTGTATGAGTGCTAAATAGACTATAGACTACATGCATATGAGCGTGGTATGAGCGGTGCATGGATTTTTTTTTTTAGTTATTATTGTAAAAAAACGCGCGCAGATATGACCTTGGCCCGAAAAACTCACAATCTATGAGGCTTGCGCACCATGTTTGAGCTCGAATTACAGTAGAACCCTTCCGCTAAAAGCTATGTAACGGCCATTTGTAGTAGAACCCGAGCAAAGCAAATAAGAAACTCCAGTCTCGACCAAAACTAAATGCAGCAGTAGTAAGCAGAGGTTGTTGAGTGCGGGCGCCTAACTACTGTATTTTCGTATTTTCGTTGTACGGACGATGTGCCGTACCGATAATAGTAGTCAGGATTCCAACCCCCGTAACGGTTCTGACTCTCTACTCGTGAGCACGGAATGCGGGCCTGGTATGAAGAGGGATGGAAATGAAGATTGCGACAACAACTGCTTGTGAGTAGCGGTGGCCTTTGATCCGAAGAATATTGCTCTATTTTGGTCACTTGACGGGGCACGGTACAGCTGTTAGCGCCCACACTACCTCTAGTTTTAGCCTAGGCTGGGTTCTCAGTTCCTAAGACCAGGCCAAAAATGGCTGCAATGTTGATTTTTGTGTGGGGTTCTGTTATCGAGGAACAAAGAATTGTACAAGTGAAGCGAAAACGGAAAACTCCGAAAAAAATGTATGTTTTCCTACATGTCAATCTCTCTCCAACAGCAGTGCCTCCCCGCCTCTTGCACACTGCCCGTGTTGCTGCTGTTCTGTTTATCTGCCACCGCCCACCAGCAAGCCAACAGCATACCACCCGTTGCAGAGCAAGGGCGTGAAAAGGTTGCTCCCCCAGACGTGGCCACCGAAAGAACATCTGAAATACAGGTGAGCAACCGATAGACAATGAAACCATTGCCAGGGTATTTTCGAGAGACCTAGTGTAAGAATGTAGGGACTACATAGCATGATGTAATTTAACAAATATTTTGTACGCCACGGGCGACCTTCCATTTTTGCGAGGTTGAAGGACGAGTATCCAAGCTCACTTTACCGCATGTCAGCGGGGACATGCAGTGTTGTTGTATTCGGACACAAAGGGCGGGAAGCGAGACTCGTACCAACAAGCAAGTCTGTCGATGAAGGATGATTGGGGGAGAAAGTGAGATGAGAAGGTGTTTCATTCAGTCGGCCGAAGGCGTCGAAAACAAGAAGCTGAAGCACGCGGCACGTCAGCAGCGATAAGAGTGGGTGGATACGATCTGCTACCGGTACGCGAGCCAATCTAGCCTAGTGACTCATCACTTTCACGAACGACTCATCCGCATGCGTCTAGGGCTAACGCGACCGTCTTTGGCGTACCTGCCGTGAGAGAGAGGGTGCCATGTACAGAATACCAAAGCTTCAAGGTGGGCTCTCTCGTTCAGCCGAGATGCCGATCTTCCTAGCGATGTCAAATTGTCGCGATGTGCCACGGAGTTGAACACAGCCAACCATACTTGCTGTGTCATGCGTAACGCTTTGATCTCTTGCGTGTTTGAGCACACCATGCTGGTGTCGGGCAGACTGGAACAGACGTTGACATGGACTCTTGTTGCATCTGTTTCGGGCGACGGTGCAGGTGGAGAAGAGCCCGAACGACGAGCGGGCCTACCGTGCGATGGAGCTACCAAGCGGCATTACGGTGAGAAGCGGGTGAAGCGCAGCACGACTAAGCACGCGGACATCCAGGAAGCACTGTTGTTGCCTACCGCCTCCGACAGTGTTGTGTGATGTCCCGTCGTCGTTCGATGGTCAAGCGCCCCAAATCTCTGTTGTCTGACTGTCTGTCTAGAATATGGCCGCTGGGTGGACAAAACCTACTGCTTACACTACTACACGTCATTACAACCAACGCATGGGATCGCTTCCCTCTCGGCCAATACCACACCTGACGCTCGGCTATTACCACATTTTCTCCTCCTGCGGGTCGCGACTTTTTTCCATATTGATGGAAGACGTTTACGAGCTGAATTCGTGGTTTCCCCCCCTGACGCCCTTCGTCCCTGTGTACAACTAGAAACCGCTGCCAAGACCCCGGAGAACACTTGTTTTTTTGCGAGTTGGTTCGTCTCCACCATCATGCCGCACGTGGTGTTATAATCGTCGACTTGCCGACTTCGCCGACAAAATTCCCGATTTAAGGACCGTCCTGGCCAATGCTTGCAGCACTGCACGTCCACGTCTCATTTCATGCCAACCAGCGGGTGGCGACCCCCGACGTCGCACGATACCGCATGTAGCTCCGAGAAGACACTCATGGAGACAGCTCACTGCACAGCACCCGTCCCCCGTTTTTTTTCAATCACCGCCTGCTTTTGTGGTGGATGTGGTTGTCCAGGCTATCGTTGTCTCGGACCCGGACACCAAGATCTCCGCCGCGGCGATGGACGTTCACGTTGGCTATTTCTCTGACCCAGGTAAGCCAGTAGTCGACGCAGGGTTTTCTAAGCAAGCAAACAGAATGTACTGGATAAAGTTAGAATCGGCTAAGCTGGGGTTGTGGATAGGGTGAGGGTCTATGTGCTCCCTGCCTGGTCTTTGTTGTGCTGAACTTACTTTCTTTGCGTAGGCAGTCCAGGAAAAACAAGTATTGTCATTTTATCCGTCTTCGAAACATTGCTTTGACTGGGCTTGCTTGTGCCCGCGGATACTTTTTTGGGTTGTGACTGCGTGCTGGGTGTGCCGAGGCTTTTGTTTGACCAGCCCTGCTTCGATTGTTCTCAACACAGCGGGCGGTATACCAATGGGACTTCCTAAACCTTATCCGTCTCTCTTTCCTCCACGTAGAGTAGCCTGGTACATGGTATCACAATGGTCCTTGGAGCTGCTACGAAATACAAGGGACATTCGGATTCAAGGGCGAATACCACAATGGTCCCTATATTTCCGAACAGGATGGGACACGTACGTTACGGCGGCGTTGCACCTACACCGATAAAACCCCCCGCCCGCCGGTCCCGTGTATTCCGACCATGAACGACAGATGATTTGCCAGGCCTGGCTCATTTTTGCGAACACCTCCTGTTCCTTGGCACCGACAAGTACCCGGACGAGTCGAGGCAAGTTTACTTTTTTTTGGAAATTTCCTGCCTATCTGTCGGCCGTGGCACACACAAGCAGTTTTGCGAGATGCCCCGCCGTCGTGGGTGATGTCCCGGCTTAGGAGAACATCTTGCGCGGGCGAACCGCTCTGCATTGTTTCTCGTCTGCCATGAGACCCAAACCATCAGCCTTTTTCTTTTAGTGTTGAAACATCGTCCACACGCACGAACATTCTGTGTTTTCGACTGCATTCTGCTTCCGAGGGAAAGAAAACATCCTCTCCTCCAGGTTTGTCTTTTTGCTTTACCTGTGTTGAACGGCACAGCAAATTAAATTTCCTTCAACCTTTAGTTGGGTCCCAGCTTGCAACATCGCGGTCGCCTTGCCGATACTTTCGGCAGGCCTGGGCATAACGTTTCCTAGAATGCAGGTAGGTATTCTTGGCGTCCGATGTCATTGCCAGCCCGAAATATTTGTTCTCCGGATAACGTTATTGCCGTTCTCATGGTTGATGGTTGTGTCGATGGCGTGGGTTGCTGGTGCTGTTGTGGGTGCTACTGTTGTTTCTCCGTTGCTGGTGCTGGTGCTGTTGCTGTTGATGCTTTTTTATCGTTGTTTTTCAGATGCTGTTGCTGTTGCTGTTGCGGATGCTACCACTGTTGCGTGTCCGTTGCTGTTCACGGTTGGTCTTCAGCTACGAGGCGCACCTCAAGTCCCACGGAGGGTCGTCGAACGCCTACACGGCTTCCGAAGACACAGTGTACTACTTCAACGTAGCCTCGGACCATCTCGCCGGGCCCGACGGAGCGCTAGACCGCTTCGCCCAATTCTTCATCGCACCACAGGTGGGGGGTGGGGGCCCCCGCAGTTCTCGACCGAGGGGATGTACTCATGTTTTATGCCCCCTCAGTCATTTGACTCCGCATCCTTTTCGAGACGGAGCACCGCCGACACTGCCGGAAATTAGTGACACCCCTCTTTGTATCCGGGTGCTCCTTCCCTCTCTGGACTATTTTTGATGCAAATTGTCGCTCACGTAGCGGGGAGGTTGAGGGGCGGGGGGCGGGGGGGGGCAGCGCTCGGATCTGAACCTTTTGTCGAAGGTTTTGCGAGGAATGGTACATTGAAGCATTCAACCGCCGCAAGTTGTGCAGCAGTCGTACAACCTCGTATATGTATTGTACCGCCAATAAAGAGAGACGAGACTGCGACAAAGCGTAGTTTTGGAGGTAGGGACGGGCAAAGGGTGCAGAAGGAGATCGATAGGGGGGTTGGAAGGGCCCTTCTTGTTTGTCACCAACCCTCGTTCGGTTCAACACCAGACTATGCATGTCCGCAGGGATTTTGAGTTAACACCGTTTGGTTCCTGCAAGAGTAGAACGCCACCTCTGGCGATAGAGCCATGACGCGGTTTTGGTTATCCTGTGAGATCTCCTGCTTTCTGCGCAGGGAAGGGACTGCGATGAGGTGGGCAGCACTAACAATAACATTCTCCCTTCTTTACAACCAGCAACAAGTATCACTGACTGACATATTCTGAGGACTCACAAGGGGGCTCAAAAACCGTTTTTTTGGTGGATTCTACGTGAAGTTCACCGAGTCCGCCACGGAGAGGGAGCTAAACGCCATCGAATCGGAGAACGCGAAAGATCAGACCTGTGACTACTGGCGGCTCCTGCTCATAGAGAATTCCAGGTATGCGCTTGGGGTTGCATACCTTCACCCGTACTCCAAGAACTGAGTTTGGCCGTAGAGAAACGAACTGGCGGCTATTATCAAACGGCAAGAAGTATTGGTGTACGTGACAAAACCCAGGAACCCATGTTATGACTGTTGGTGCCCCCTGTCCCGTGTTGAAGACGACACCGCTCCGTTAAATTTTGCAGCAGTGCCCCGCAATTTGGCAATGGCTTCACAGCGTCTCATCTCCTTCTTTTTATCCAATCGCCTTTCTTCCAAGGCCGGCCTGGTAGCAAAAGAAGTTGGGCACGGCCGCTTTCGTAGACGCTGTCGTCAGCGCTGCGCATACGCGTAGGTTGTTTGAGTGTCCTGCTCTCGCTTGCCTTGTGGATAGGTTGTTTGATGTGGTGAAGAGTTCGTCTGGCCCGACTGGTATCAAACAATACCCAGAGTGCGCATTGTGAGGTAGTGCGATTATAGGTGTCTACATGGCTACGCACGCCGCCCCCTATCCCTCATCTCCTGTGCCGTTGTAAGGAACCTCCGACCACCCACTCTTCACGATCGGATAGTGAGTAGAGAATCACGACTACTTGGTCAACGCGCCGTTCGCCTGTTGTCCGTTACCTGTGCGGCCACCTGCGTGAGACGTTACTGTCATTCGCATACATTCCCAGCTGGGAGAAATCTCAATATCTCAACGGCTTTATTTCTCCGAGCTCATAGTGGGGAACTAGACACACTCAGCTTCCGTTAAGCCCTTTCGTGCTGAACGAGAGTTCGGATCGATATTTGGCGTGCTTTAGGAACACGTTTCGTATACCACTGATTTTTAGCTATTCCGCGCGGAAATCCACCTTGCTTTTCGCCTCGTCTGCCTTGCTGGCCCAGCAACCTATCTGATCCACGTTCGTTTGCATTTGGTGCTTTCGCTTGATTGTTATGCTCCAGGGCTAACCCTAAGCACCCTTACTCCAAATTCGGTGCGGGCAACCGCAAGAGCTTGCTGGAAGACCCGGCAGCGAAGGGAAAGAATGCCCGGGAAGCCCTGTTGCCCTTCTTTTATGCGTGAGTAGTCCACTTTCATGATTCAGTAGACAATTTTCTTGTTGACGCTTTTCGGGCAGACTCTGCCCCTGCTTCCTGGCTTGCAACTGCTTGACAGCGTGCTGGGTGATCGTTATCAAATGAGGGTTCGGTCAACTCCATCGCGCCTTGGCTGCTCTCGCTTGTTTACCGCCACCGATGGCATTGAGGATGCAGTCGTCGCCCTTGCCCCCACGTGTTTTGAACAGATGCTGACCCCTCTTTTCGCGCATAGCTATGTTTCGTTCCACACAATTTCTCACACGGTACGGGAGCACCTTCTCCGGTACTTCGCTTGTCTGAACAGGCTGTGGTTTGAGCGACAACGGCGAACGATTTTCCCACCTGTTCTGTCGGCTACGACCGACAAACCCCGTCGAACCGAATCGCTCGCGTAGCCTGACTTGCCATGGCGTTGTGTCGGAAGCAACAACACCACCTTGTAGACTTGATTGACTCTGCAAAGCGGGTTGCTCCAGGCATCCAGGAAAGGAGGCCTCAATCCGGGAAGGGTCCAAGACACCTGACGTTTGCCATGGTAGTAAAACGTTTTTTCTATGACAGAACCTGATTTCCTCTCGGTCGGGACTGCTGTCTACAGGCATTACGCCGCGAACCAGATGACTCTTGTCGTACTGGGCAAGGAATCGTTGTCGGAGCTGCAGCAGGCTGTCGAGGAGAAGTTTTCTGCTGTGCCCAAGCGCGGCTGCGGGCTCCGGCCGTCCTCGGCGTGGATCGGAAAAGTGAAACCGTTTCTCGACGACCGGGCGAAACCGTTGCAGGCTTTCAATGTGGTCCCGGTTAAGGTGGGTAGGTGCACCGCTGTTGTTGTTGTTGTTGTTGTTGTTCTTATTGACGTGTCTGTCTTCCTTGCCTCGTTACTTGTTTCTCAGCTCGGAGGTGGGTTTAGATTGCTCTTGGTGACGTATGCCCCCTTTCGTGTCTGTATGTACAGTTGACAAAGGTGCTGTGAAATGCAGCATTGTTGTGCCTTTGATTGGCATATTTCTTCACCGCTTGCCTGCATGCTGCCATTTCGTGCTTTGATAGGACTTGCGCTCATTGGAGGTTTCGTGGACGCTGACTTTCGACACCTACGAAGAAAGAAAGGAATACCTCGACGCGGCGCCGTTCAGCTACATTGCGTACGTCGTGGTGAGAGGGAGGAAGCGACCTAGATACTTCGTTCGAGGAGGTCTAGGGTACTTTTGGTGCAACAACGCGTTGAATCTCGATGTCATGACAAGATTTTTAAGGGCCGCCAGGTACCTCGAGCAAGGGGAAATATTAATATATGTTCCATTTAGCTACTGGAGACTTCGGGTTGTGGAGCGAAACGGCGAGCCTTTGGGTCTTGGCCGCAACAGTGGTCGTGGCTGGGCTCCTTGCGGCAGGCCCGCATTAACTACAGGATGTCATTGACGTTGGGCGTAGCATCGCTACCTGCAGTCACTGGACTGTTGTTGTAGGCCGTCAGGGGTTCTACCCGCACGATCGAAGCTTGTGCATGCTTTCGTCTCGACGCTAGTCGAGGCCACATTGGTTTCGAATCTACTGTCTTTATAGCTGCCAGATTTCTCGACCCCCTTCTGAAATGCATCCCTCCCGCAGAACATCGTTTCTCGAGGTTGAGGGCTCACGCGACACTCTTGCGCTGCTTATCACGAAAATCATGGACACCGCTAGTCGGGTTGCTGCCCTTCACCTCGCGTGCCTGCTCATGATTTTGTGTGCGTGTGCCTTGTGTGTTGCACCGCTAAGGAGTACGAGGGTCCTGGATCGCTCCTGTCGTACCTAAAGGGCAAGGGCTGGGCCAACGCGCTTAACGCCGGGTGCTCGGCCTCGAACGACGACTTCACCAATTTCGAGGTGCGGCCTATGGGTGCATGGCACAGCGCACCGTCGCCCCTTTGTTTATCTACTCAACAGTCCAGCCTATTTTGCTCAACGAAAGGTGCAGCGGGAATGCCCTTTGAATGACCCCACCCCTGATAGCCTGGCCCGGTGAGAACCAGGCATGCTCCGTCCCGGCTTTTGTAGGGGTGCGAAGTCAATGGTCTAACGACTACGGCATGCACGGCTACTGTATGATTACACCCCCCTCCCTGCTGCTTTACACGAGAGTTGCACCATCCCTGCGGCTACTTGACCCCCGCTCATGCCGCCATCGTTTTGTTTTTTTTGCTGGCCAGATCTCAGTCGATCTGACGCCGGAGGGCCTGCTGAACCGCTTCCATGTCCTTACGGCGATTTTCAGCTACCTGGACCTCATGCAGAAGGAAGGCATCCCGCGGTCCCTGGCTCCCGAGCTCCGGGTAATGTCCGACCTGGGCTGGCAGTTCCAGGTGAGGTACCGGAGCTCACGACGAGATTGTGCAACAGAGGATGAGCAGGAATTCACACGCCATGACGGGATGCGAGATACCGTAGAAAAGGGTAGGGTTAGGATACGCCGTGAGGCATGGTAGGAAAAATGTTGCGCCTGTACAACCCAAACTGTTTTTGCAGCTGTTCACCTGCATGGCCAGAATGTCCCCACCGGGCTCCGACGTCAATCGTCTGCTTGGACGTAGCCTTCGACGCTGAGTTTTTTTTTTTTGTCCTTGGGTGACGTGCAATGTCTACCTGCCTTGTTATGTGGAGGCCGAACTGTGTCCGGGAGATCGAGACCGTAGCTGGGATCGATACCCGTCGGTGGCGCTGCATGTCGAAGTTTGGCATCGCCGTTTTGAAGCGTAGGCGGGCGTGTCCGCTGCTTCTTCGTTCTGTGACTGGCTAGTAGTGGTCGAGGACGTCTGGTTTGTTTTTGGCGGAGTTTGGCTGCAAGCGTTAGGAGGCGTTCTTTCTCAACAATGGGCGGGGTTGTCGAACGTCGCGTTCCGTGTCTCCACCTTGACGTTTCGGCGTATGTATACAATGACGTTCGTCGCCATGGATTGCTCGTTCTACCTGGTTCTTCAGCGTCGATGCCATTAGATATGCCTGCATGCCACGCCATTCTTTATCTGAGGCCGCGGTTCCATCAGAATTGTCTGAATCCACAATAGTTGTCTTCAGATTGGTTGACCTTGGGTGGCGTTTCCAGGACAAGATCGAAGCGGACGCATTGGTCAACTGGCTAGCACCCAACATGCAGAACTACAGCATGGAAACCGCGATAAGGTCAGAGCCATGGAATTCTTGCTGGCGTGTTCCAGCAACAGTCGGTGGCACAGACCGCAACCTAGAGTAAATTGGGATCGGCGGGACACACCATTTCCACTATTTGCCGTTGATGGGAGGGCTGATGCAGATTTGCGAGTATCGGTTCGATCCCTTCCTAACGTTTGCACCGCGTTCACCAGTACCTTGTGAAGAATACCCGTAGAGGCCGTGTGGCTAGCTTGACGCCTGGACACACCCTCCTCAAAACGTCTGTGTTGCCTACTTTTAGAAAACATGACCATAACAGGCAGGGGGTTGTTTGTCGACGGCAGCTGTTTCTCTTCAAAGGGAATGTTGTATGTTCTTCATTCATGCGGTGTATTCTTGCTGATGGCGTTCCGGGACCAGTCCCTTCTCGTTTCATTTCCCGCCACTTGTACGTTTGAATCCGAAACCTGCCCAGCAGTGGCCATTCCTGGCAGCAGCTATCTGATATCCTTGTTAACGCTAAATAGTGTCATATCCATACGTTTTTGGTAGCAGCGGTGTCAAAATATTTTGGCGCAATTCGACCTTGTGTTGCGCTACTCCTCGTTGTCAGACATGTGACGAAAGGCGGCTGACGAGGATTGCCGGATTTCATCCGCTTGATTGCATGCATTGGAATCAAAGAACTCAAGAGGGTTGCGAAACACAAACAAAAAAGCCGTGGTTGTGTGTCCATCAAGAAGTATGCCCCGGACAGATCCCGTTCATTATGGCATATTTTGTTTTGCTCTGTTTTCGCGTCGACTTCAAAACCTTGCGGAACAACAGCGGGCCGTGTCGGCTGCAGCGATACGACGAGAGCTTCATACACACCCTGTTGAACTCCCTGAGGTCGGACCCGCCAGCGGGGTCGTCTTTGTCCCGTCCCCGGGTCACAGTAACGGCCAAAGACTTCGAAGAAGCTGCCACGGAGAGGGAGAAGTGGTTTGACGTCCCTCACCAGGCAGGTTTCTCTAGTATTTGTTCCATGTGGCTGTCTACTCTACTACATTTTTGTCTGTCTTGGAGGTCGCTGTTGTTCTGTTCGAGGTTGCCATGACGGCTTTGTATGGTAGTGCCCTGCGTGTGTGCGATTCTGCGTGCCTCCCTGCCCCGACCATTCATCCCTCTGCTTTGTTTCCAACACACAGGAAGCGCTTGAAGAGTAGGGGTAAGTTGAAATGGCCGAACAAGTTACTCAATTTATTGAGGGACGACAAAGGACAACCAACTTCGTTTTGCAAGAAGCCAAGAGCGCCCGAAACGGGCATTTCCTCTGCGGAGCAGCAACGCCATCTGTGAAGCAGCAATGATATGCTTGCCTTTATTGGTCGAATGACATGAACACCCTCTCTCTCATGGCCAACGAGCAGGTGGAGAGCCTTGAAGCGTACACCGAGGAATGGAAAGCACCTCCGGCAATTCCGGAGTTCAAGCTCCCGGGTCCCAATCCGTTCATTCCCGAAGATGTGCGGGTGGTCGTGCCGGAGGGAAAGCTCCCAAAGCCGGGAGAAGCGATTGATCCGCCCACGGTGGTGGAAAACCTCCCGAACGATGGCGTGTGGAAGGTGACACAGAAGAGTGCTCTACCATCGTAGCATTCCGTGGCATCGTACTATTACCACACACACTGGGGAGCTTGTCTGTGATGTCCTGGGACACCGCAGGGTGCACGGATTTTGCACAAGTGAGAAAGACGGGATCTCGATGCGTTCTGTACATTTGGCTGGTCCTGGGATTTTCACGCTCCTTCTTGGCCGTCCTGATTTTTCATTGCAGAACGCGAGTGGTCACCTGCAGTTCAGCTCGTAATGCTTGCTCTCCCTTTCGGGTGTTGAATCAAATTGCTTCCGGTCGCCCACGTCCCTCGTCGCAAACGTCAACAATCACGACAACAGGTGAGGCACAAGCTCGACGACATCTTCGCGCAGCCCAAGGCCCGCTGCAAGTTCCAACTGGTCAGCCCCGCAGCCTTCGAGAGTCCCCGCACCTGGGCTGCCCTGGACCTCTTCGACAGTTGCCTCAACGAGCACCTCACCGAGTACACCTACGACGCGCTGGTAGGTCGATTTATTACGGGCTTTAGGGAACAGCTTATTTGCGCGCATAAAGGAACCAGCCATATCGGCTGCGAACTTGGCAGGGGTAGGGCGGGCGACTTCGTGCCTGCAGCGAGCATACCAAACGCGTTTCATTTGGTGGCTTGGTAGCATAGACTACTCCACATGGTGTTCGCGGTCAAACGCTACCCTTCCACCTACCATACCTCACTGCTGTTTTCTTGTGTGGTTTCCTTCACTGTTGCCGTGCTACTTGCTCCAGACAGCAGGCCTGAGCTTCAACCTTAGCGTGAACACGAGGGGGATCGGACTCTCCTTCCAAGGGTACGGGGACAAGATGCCCGAGTTCATCGACAAGGTCGCGGAGGCGGTGGCGACGTATACCCCCAGCGATCCGGTCGAGTTCGAACGCCTGCGGGACGTGGTGGGTGGTTGTTGTCTGCCGATGCTGCTGCTTCCCGGATATTCGTGTTGCCTACGCTATTGGTCGTCGTCGTCGGACCTGTTTTTTTCCGATGTTGTGTTAATTTCTGATGTGAACTAAAGCCCTTTCCGCTTTCGATCCCAAACGCTGCTGTAACCTCACCGGAACGAAGTGACGAAAATACGACGGAAATAGTTGTAATGCCGACCGACGCATTTGGCACCCATGATCCGCCTGTTGCGGGTGATCGTTCAACCCGAAAACGTGGTACGTTGTAACTGGTGCAGCTGCGGCGGCGGTGTTCTAGCTTCGACAATGAACAGCCCTACCGGCACGCCATGGCCAACGCGGACGAGGCAACGGAGGACCCGACGTGAGCAATCCATGTGATGGCAGTTGCTTTGACGGCCAACTTTTTTTATTGGTGTGTCGGTCTGTTTGGTTGTTTGACCCTCGTGGTGGTGTCATGCGTCATCGGTTAGGTAAGAACTGGAGAAATCAATTAGTCTTAGCGTCAAGGCAACCGGGCAGCGACCGAAGCGTGAGCTCTGAAAATGGGGACTATGGATATCGCTCATGCATAGGTAAAAATACGGGATCCGGTCGTTAGAGGTTAGTCCGATCATGCTAACATCGGTCCAACTGTTCTCACGCGAGGATACGGACACTCAAGCAGCCCTCTCTCTCTAGCCCGGACCGACTCTGATTGGTGTTACGCATAATATCAACAGAGATGCCTTAGTTTTCCCCTGCCGATGCCACGTCTCTCTGTGTACACCCACACACACACACACGCCCATGGCCCTTACCCCCCACACCCCTCGCATGTTCTCCAAGCGTCGGCTTCCCTGTCACATTTCGAACAGGCCTGCCTAGCAAAGTAGAGACCCCCTCGTGCAGGTATGTAGCAGTAACAACCCAACATGCACCGGTGCCCCCGTTATCTCCCCCCTCCCGCGCGCGCAGATATACCTTGCGAGAGATCGGAGCAACGCTGGACTCGATCGAGCTGGCTGATCTCCGACCCTTGGCGTCTCGAGTACTGGCGGAAGCGGAGGGAGTGTGCCTCATGCAGGGCAACCTTCAGAAGGAAGACGTCCCTAGGTGCGATTAGCGTGCAGACAGTAGTAGTAGGAAGGGAAATCAAAACAATAACGTAATGTACCAGTGAAAACTGTCTTTTCTGCTGTAGTGTATGCATAGGGGGGGAGGTTCGAAGCTCGGGATGTTTCGAAGTTGCCGCCGAGAACTACACGGCACAAGAGGTGAGGTATATTCCGTTCCTCTGCCACTGTCCACTACTGTTTTCTCCATGAAGGCAATGGTCACAATGTCAGCAATTTATTCTACATCCCAACGTATCGTGGTTCTAGCGCCGAACGCCTCCGTAGTATATTTGAGGGGCGTGGGTTGTCGTTCTAACCCAACCTGGCCCCCAGAATTCCAATGCTACAAAATGCAGGTAGCTCGTTCCAATTTTCAACGAAACACGGCGTACTTTGCCTTGTAGGTCGAATCCAACCCAGCCCAAACCAAACCAAAGCAATCAGCTCCAACTGCTATCTTCTGCAAGAAGGCGGCCTGTTTTGGCTCACGACGTTTTCGTTTTTTGTTGATCAGGTACATGGAAGGCGTTCGCCGTTGGTTAAAACCGACCCCTCTACCGGAAGACAAGCGCCCGGAGACGAAGATCGTGAGGTTGCCGCAGACGCCGAAGGGGTGCGGGAGCTTGCTCCGTAGGCCCGAGGAAGACGAATCTAACGACAATTCCGCCGTGCAACTGCTGTTTCAGGTACTGCGGGAGGGTACAACCAACCAGTCTCTTGTGCCTTGCGTGATTTCTCGGTCTCTTCCCTCATGGGGGGGGGGTGGTCTTGTATGCCTCTGTTGTTGTTGATGGTTTGAATTATCGCTATGTCCCCTTCGAAAAACATATGGCCTTGATTCAGCATCTCCTTTTTTGTTGGTAGTTGCTCTTGAAGGCAATGTTGACCGGACTTTCGTGGTCATCGGCTTTCCTAAACCACGGCAAAATATATGAAACCTGTGCTGAGTTCCGTCTGACGTGATCCTTGCTGTTCTTCTGTTGTACTGTATATAGTAGCGCAGAAGTTTGCACTTGATGTGTGTGCTGAAGGCGAGACGAATATCACTCTCATCACCTGTTGTGCACTGCTTTTGGGTTCTGCCTTTCGACTTTTTCGCCTTGTTTGTCTCGCAAGATGTACACGGCCATGACTCTCCAGTGCCTCGCTCAGGCAGAGAAGCGAAACCCCTCCGCCGCCTTTCCGATTCATTGTTTTGCCGTGAAGAACACGAAAGAAATTTTAAGTTCTGGTATGAGGCCACCAGCTGTTGTTCGTGTCCAGGCACCAACATACCCATCGCTTGAACCTCCTCACACAATTAGCTCCCACTCCCTCTCTACCTCTCACGAAACGACTATGCCTCTCCCTTCCGCCACTCCCGCTCCTTGTTTCGAACAGGTTTCAGACCGCAGTCTCGAGTCGCAAATGTTGGCGGAGGTGCTGATGGCGACCATCGAAGAGCCGTTCTACAACTCCTTGAGGACCAAGCAGCAGCTTGGATACATGGTGTTTTCGGGTGTTTCTCGCGTTGAGGGAGTGCGGTAAGACCCTCCTCGGTGCCGACACTCGAACATAGCGGCAGGAATCTGAAGGACTGAGCTATGCAACAGCAGAGCCTGAGGCACGTTGTCATGCATGCCGGGCGACCGCGTGCTGAATTTCGGGTTTTGGCTCTTCCTTGGCAACGCCGGGGAGAATTATCTTCAAACTGGCGGCAGAAATTATGTGGAAATATTCTTTATGCGGAACATGTGTTCCCTCCACCCAGTGTCTCGAGCAATCAGATCGCCGCCTTTTTGCTGCCTCGCGTGTTGCTCAATGCTTTGCGAATTGGTTGACTCATGCCGTCCCGTTCCTTCGCTTATGTTGTCGTTTCCACACCTCATGCACAGTTTCATGTACCTGACCGTGCAATCGGCCGAGCGGAGCGCTCCCTATCTCACGGACCGATGTTTGGAATTCGTGCAAGAATTCAGGCAGCAGCTGGTGGATCTAACCCCCGGCAAGCTCAGGTAGCATTTACACTCGAAGCGTGTGGGCTTGAAACCGTTTTACCCATGGAACACATTGCGGCGATTGAACCCCGCTATGCATGCCCTTTTAACTACTCAGAGAACTGCGTGCCACTTTCCGTTTCACTCGTGCCACCCTCCTCTGCCTCTGGCAGCCACCCGCTGATTAGCTCTATACGTCAGTGCGAGGTTCGAGTCCCAAAGTGCCGCTACAGTAGTCAGCGATACCCAAAGCTTTAAAACCTTCGCCAGCACCAATCAAGACGGGCTCTCTCAATTTCCCGACCCGCTGATGACACCGGAAATCCTGGCATAGGAGGGGTTCGAACTCCCGTCTGCTCGAACAGAGATCGCAGTGCATGGTATCTCAAGTGACGTCGGGGATATGTCTTTAAACTACGCCAGCAAAATCATCGTCAAATGCCCCACCCGCTTTCCTGTATGTCGTACCCAGCGATTTTGTTCAGGGGCTGGTGAGCCGTAAGCTCGAGCCGGACCACCGCCTATCCTCCGAGGTAAACAGGAATTGGGGAGAGATCGTCACCGGGCAGCTAAAGTTCGACCGTAGGAGGGAAGAAGTGGAGGCGCTGAGAAAGGTTCAGGAGGAGGACTTGCTACGCTTCTTCGAAAGGTCGGTCGTCGGAGTTGCTGGTGCAGTTTCGGCTCGCGTCCTTGGTGTTAACCCCAGCTCCTGCTTCTTGCCAGTTCATTCGCTATCAGGAACGAACATGGTTTTTGTCCAACTATTGAACTGAATCAAATGACACAGGACTCGGTTCGGTAGAGCCTTCCGTTAGCCCGCCCGACAGAGGAAGAAGACCACCAAAATCCTGCCAGAGGCAGGATATAGAGTGGTGTTGACTACTCGTACAAACCACGAGTACACGGGAGTACTCCAAATTGCGCAATCATGTATCAGCTGCGATCAACTGCGATATGCGTATGCCACCGTCATGCAGTGTCCTCCCCAATATAATAGTACCAACGACGACTTTTTCGCAAACCATGTGTCTCGTCGAAAAAGAGCAAATCTGGCATTTTCGTTGGTCAGGGCTTCACATAGACCAGCACACACCAGGTTAGATCATTTTAGATCATGTCAGGCCACCAGGCCTGTGCTGTTCACCACAGGACACTGATAGGTCTAGCCTGGCCTGTGGGATTATATTGTGACACGGTCATGGCCTGTATGGCCTGATGACACACGTGAAACACGCCAGCCCCTCTATAGACTAGACGCAACGCAATCGGCTTAACCGTGGGGCAGACCATGACCGGTGGCAATCCGCGACATGTGATAGTCACCAATCAATACCAAACAAACGTGCTGATTGACACGGGGACACTCTTGAAGAACTCCTCGAATGGATTTCGTCGTGTGCAGGCATCTCCAAGAGGGCGGGGAAGACCGGCGGCTGCTGACGTCAGAGGTCTTTGCCAAGAAGTACGAGAGCGACATGGAACTCCCCGCGACGGAGGCGATGTTGGTGTCAAACGCCAAAGAGTGGAGGGGAGCCCAGGAAAAGTTTCCGATTCGGATTCGCCTCGCATAGACAAATAAAGTTCAACGAAGGAGTGCGCGTGCACATGTCGGCACGACGAACGAACGGGTTGTAGGGTAGGGTTCAACACACCGTATTGTACCAACCTTGGTGTCTGTGTCTCGTACCAACGTGTACATAAATTATCTGTGTCTAGCATTGGTGGCCGCATAAATTTGAGTGGCCGCTGGTTGATTTGCACGAAATGTTCTGGTAGGCATATTGAATGGAACAATCTTCTCCACCGATGGAGGATGGGGAGGGCAGAGGGCATGCAGCAACAAGCTTTGGCCGAATTGCTTTTGGTAAACGAAAACAAGTTTCGCGAATCCCTTTTTCTCGTGGGGGAAGGCTTACGGATTTAGATGATAGTTTGAGCGAGCGGTCACGGGTCGAGCAAGCGGGCACATGCAAGTTGAATGGTTCAACAATCAAGTTCGTTTTTGTTTCCGATTGACCAGGCTCGGAATGAAAGCAAGCCTGGGATTGACGTCCCGCCTTCAAAGGGAGAATATTTCCGCCATTGTTGGTTTGCTCCTGTTGGCCAAGCGGGTACATTTGAACGGGCTTGATGCATATATGCGTCCCTCCTACGATGAGATCCCTCCGGGTGATCTCTTTCCCGAAACTCGCGCGGGAAGCTGCTCTTCATGTCTAATAGATTTTACCCGGTCGAGCTGCTCACCTCACACCTACAACCAACGGTTGACACACGGTTGACACAAGGTGATTGCGTTCACTTTTCGGAATGCCTAGACCGAGCGTCGTTTATTAAGTTGATCGCTGGACCTAAACAAAAGCTAGCGGTTGATCTTTCACCAGCAGAGGACAAAGTTGGGTTGGCCCTCCACGGAGGGAACTTGTTACATTCGGATCACTACATCAAACTTGGTCAATGGTCAAATTGCTCAACGCAGGGCATCGCCCTATAATATGGAATCGGGTGCTATCGTACACAGGAGGAAGGTGGCGGGTCATCGGGTCATCGTCGCCCAACATGTAACTCTCGACAAACAGAACCGTTTCTCAAGTTTAACCGCCCGCGCCTTTGGACGCACTTTACTCTCTTGTCAACAAGCCAACCATGCCATGTCCCTTGCTCTGAAAACACCGCTAAGCGAAACCCACAAATACATGCAACAACTCCGTTAAAGCAAATCTCGATATCTCTTTTCTCTACACGAACGGCGTCGTCTATTGGGAAGTACGATCACGACTACCGATAGTCTGAAACACCTGGCACCTACTGCAAGTGAAAATCAGGAACAACAATGCCCACACGAGACTGACTGCGGATCGGCCATTTCACGCACAAATGTCATTCATGTCCCGCTTCGAGACGGCACTACTCTCTATTGATGATCGCATCAACGATCCCCACACGACACTGCGGATCGGCCATCGCGAACTAACAGCACTTATTTGTGCCCCGCTTCGAAACGGCGACTCTTTATATTGTTCCTCTTAAAAACAAAATGCAACAGAACAAGTCTCGTACATCACCTCTAGCACTGTCATGGAAGCAATCCGAGGTCATATCAAGTACTCTTAAAAACAAAACCGTATGCAACAGAATAAGTCTGGTACATCATATCATATAAGCAATCCGAGGCCATCTCAAGTACGCGGCGGCTACTGCTCAGAAAGCGCGTCGTCAGGCTTGGTAGTCGAGACCGCCGTCAACAAAAAATTGTACAATGTCAAATCTCGAAAGTCATCTCAGCTGAACCTGTCTGGCCTCCAGATACTGTCAGACAAACGGCCCTTATGAGTGCGTGCGTCAAAGCAGATAGTTCAGTCCGGCTCTGAGCGATCACCTCACTGGGCGACCTCGGGTTCATCCGGGGGAGTGACGTCACAATCCTCGATGGGGAGACCGGAGGCACCGATAACGCAGATCACAGCGTTGGTTGCGTCGAACACGTCGTTTTGTTCCTGGTTGTCGCCATACTGGTCCCATTTTTCCACCTGGCAGTCGTCGTTGAGCGTCGCAATAACATGCTCGTGCTGGTCGCGGGCATAGCTGAAAGGGTATTCGGTAGACGACGGCGCTCCCACGCTCACCCCGTCAGTGGTCGTCACGGTCTGAACGTAGCGTACCGTCGCTTGATTAGAGCCAAGGTTCTTGTAGAACTTCACGTCGAAGTCAAAGTCCAGCACCAAGAGACTGAGGGTCCAAAACTCCTCGGTAACTGTGAAGAGGACGGACGGATAGGGGTCGATGGGAGGGGGGGCGTCAAGGAAAACAGGGCTACTTGAGGCTCAGATGAAGCGATGGAGGCCGGGATTCCGCGTAGATTATAGGGTTAACGTGCACCATGTTTGTAGGCTTTATTGTGCCACCAGTGGGATCCTGCTGTCAGCGGCAAACCAACCTGAAAAACAAACGAAAAAAAATAGAATCAAGGCACTAAGAGTTCCTTAAACCCGGTCTGCCGCTATCACCTCACTCACTACGGGACATATTTATCCAGCAATTCGTAAATAGTGGAAAGGGATGTACAAGTAGGTCTCGAGTAGCCACACATCGGCTTCATGGTCGACGAGGGCATATGATGACTGGACCCTTCTCGCGATAAAAACAGAGGAAAGCGCAGCAAGTGGAAATATGGGTTACTCAAAAACAATCCAATACGATGAAAAAAGCTAGTGTGTGAACCTTCCTCTTGTTACTCCGGCTGATACGTCAGGTATATACGCCGAAAGGTCTGTAAACCGGCACCAGAATATATTGGACGAAAACAAACACGCACGTCGACCGCCCCTTACGGGGTCCCACTTCATGGCATTTACAAGTGTTTTGTGTTTCCAACCACACTTGAGACTGACGTTTCTTCACTGCTCAGCAGGTTAGCGCGGTCGTGTACCTCTGCCCTTTTCGGCTCAGCGTACCAGGTGCACCGCCGGGCAAGCTCTACGTAGAAAGTAAGAGGCACGGCCCCTGTGTCGATAGATATGATGGCAAGAGACAGCCTCTTCTTACATTGGAGGTCTGTGGCGGCCAAGTTCTCGTTGTGGTAAGTCTCGAACCCTGGGCCGTAGCCAGCAACCACGCAAGGAACATCCTCGGCCTCAAAGCAATCGAACAGGTCAAGGATGGCCTGTGCCGGGTCCGCGCAGCCATCGTCAGATGAATCAGACGACGAATCAGAAGATGAAGAATCGCGGTTGCGCTTGCCCCTGCCCCTGCCGCTCAACTGGCGTTCGTTGGGCGACGACTCTTCCGCGGCGGTGAAGGCCAACAGAGCAGCACCGGCAACGAGAAGGATAGCGGAGATCTTCATCTTGCTCTTATCTGGTTCAAAACAAGTTCTTCGTTGTTGGGGAGCGAGGTGGGGCGAGCAGCCGAGGGGTGGGCGGTGGTCCTAATTTGGATATGTCGCGCGGTATTGGATGCAGTTATATGCGTTCTACATATCAATCCACAAAGTCTGGAGGCATCAACAGCGTAAGAAAAATTACGATGGTGGATGTTCTGATGCTGCATCAAAACGCGAACGAGCATGTCGCTTCATCCATGAGACGGACATATGTCAACTATTATAGTGCACAGGTAGCTTACACACGGCAGTTTGTACTCCGAATATCAAACAATGTGATCTGCGTGTTGTATCTTGTTGTGGGACTCTTTTGTGGATTGTGTGTACAATAGTTCAATTGTACGCTTCATCGGTAGTTTGGCATGCATTTTAGACATAGCCATGTGGTCCAACGCAGTATTTCTGAACTCGTGGGACCAATAAACAAACACCACGGACAGCAGCACCCATATATATCCAGGTTGAAACGATTCATGGAAAAACATATCATGAGAAATGAATGGAAGGAATCCCGGGCGAGGGCGGGGTGAAGGAATTCGCCCTGATACCCCGCGAGGCAGTCAAGGCCTTGTACCATCAGGGATATGATCCGCATGACCAGCGACGAAGTCACCAAATTTTCTAAAGAAGATGCTCGCATCCGGGTGAAACCTTCGACACCGCAGGTTCCACAGCTCGGGGGTACCTTGCCGCCAACCGAGATGGGTCTGAGTGCAGCGTTGTGAGCGCCTCCTGAGAGAGGCACGACGTTTTTTGGCTCGAATGCATGTGCACCCAGACAGGGTGTGCAACGAAGCACACCCCACACGCACGCGCGTCGCTCGCTCGCGACGATCGACGTATCCCGCCAACCACCAAGCAAGAGCCAACCACGCATTAGGCAGCAAGATGGCCTAAGTTGTTGTGGACCATGCTACACCACATCTTGTTCGGTCTTGGGCAATCGATGAAGACTGTAGTCGCACCACTGCTGCTGCGCTATATGTGTGAAAAGCAGAGCCAGCACTAGATCCAATGCGCGCGTGAGAAGAGTCGTATGACACATACATCTGAACCTTTGTCGGCGCCGAAGCAGGAAGGAGGCCTCCCACTGCTGGCAGCAACCTCTATGACAGACCGCGCGCATGGATGGGTTGGTGGGTGAGGTGTACAGCATGGTGTTCACCAAAGCGACTATTAATGATATGGAACCCTCTACTCTGGGAGCGAGCTCAGTCAAGCTATGTAGGGTGGTGGGGAGAGTGGGCGAGCCTTCGTGGACTCATTTTCCCATCCTCAAAAGATTCATCAACCATTGGCACAGCTGTTGGGAACCGCAAGAGCCATGGACTCTTTGGGAAGAACAGTATCACATATCCCTTAGATCCTACTCTTTTGCGTACGTGTGTCTGTGTGCTTCCTGAATCTCCATATCCTGACCTCTTTACAATGAACGGAAAGATGAACAACCTTGAAAACTTGAGCAATAACAGACGCCAGCGGCCCGTCATGCTACACTTTTTGTTCCTATCAATAACAGGGTCGAACAACCACTGGGGCGGAAGGGGTACAGCAGGCGGATGAGACGACGCGGGAAGACAGGAAACGCGAAGATGCGGACCGAGTGTCGCGACATACTGTGCCGGATTGCACCCCTTGCTTGACTTGCCCCCCCCCCCCCCCCCCCACCGCTTGGCAGGGATGTTGTAAAACAAGCCGATCACTTCGTGAGCTCAGCAACCAGGTTACCGTTATTTTTTTTGCCTTTGTTTTTTTTTTTGCGATAACCGCGAATGGTGGTCGAGTAGGTTATGTTGTGCGGGGTCGAGAACCCTCACTCCGCGCAAAGGGGATAATCGCACGTTGTGTTAAATTGGTCAACCACCCTAGAGGCAGTTACACAGCGCTTACAACTGTCTCTGGAAGTGGAAGCACCAGAAAATAAATTAAATCATACGCAGCTGTCAGCCGTACGCAAGGAAGTAAGCACAAGATGCCGAACACCCTTAGCAGGATGCAGCGCACCCTTCATGCGACTCGCCGAATACCTCACGGCGCTTCGCGCTTGGTGATGTGAGAGCCTCGTCCGGTGAGAGCCCGGCGTGCTAAGTCCCGGCTTTGTAGGGATGCGAGGTCAATGGTCAAACGACAACGGCATGCACGACTATGAGTACTCCCCCCCAGCCCCCCCCCTAACACTGCACCATTAAAACAATCCCCCACGAACGAGGACGTACATTTGCTTGCTCGGGTGGCCCGCTTTGTGTTGTTTTGTGTTGTCTTGCGTTGTTCTGTTTGTTGTTTCGCTACTACGGCGTGTGTCTTTCTCCTCCTCTTCCTCTTTTCTCTCCATCTGCTCTCTTCTTTTCCTCTTTCGTTCTTTTTCCAGCCTACCTATAGGGCTACCACCTCGCTAGCGTGTAGTTGTAGAGGCGAGCGGACTGGCCTATACTATCTGTCGTGGACTTCTTTTGACTTGCTTGCGGACGCTTCGGGTCCATTTTATTGTTTTGGTTTACCTTTTTTTGGGTAACTTAGCCTGTGACCACGGGAATCGACCCCGTCAAGCGTTAGAAGACTAGTACGGAGTACGGACAGAAGAGGGTACTGGGCAGAGAGAAGGGAACGGTTCTTAAATGTGAAGACAACAACAACAACCACAAACTTTGAAAAAAAGGGAACTTCATGTACGTACCATATATATTGTACGTAGACTATACCACAATGCTTTTGTTTTCGGTGTGCGTGAAATAATTCCACATGATTGAAGAGCATTTGGCCACCATTACGTAAAGTCTGTGTTCTGAGAGAGATAGATAGATCTAGCAGTATGTCGTGCGATTCTTTCTACATACAATAGAATGAGTTAAGTCTTTCCGTGTTTGCGTATATTATTATTATATTTTTTTCTTAACATGACACAACGAATCCATCTCTATCATAGAAAAGAGTCTTGAGACAGACCATAGCGTTGTTTAGCGGCGTTTGTTTATGTTTCCTAATAGAATTACGTACGTACACAATGCCTGTGGTTGAGATATATATACGTACGTGCGCTACATCTTCTACTCGTTCGTGCAAATACAGCCGCAGGCAAGTATGCGATGCAGACGCATGTCTACAGCAGTACGTATACATCTACCGTAACCTAAACTACGGAATTTTCCCCCCCTAGCACAGATTCCCCCCCCCCC